AAAGGAGGATGTGGGCATTGGTGAGGAAGACAGAGCAGCTGTCTGCTCCCTGAGGTCTCCCTGGCAGCCTACTGTTCAGGTGCTGAAGTGGGAGAGGAACAGTTACAAGGCCTCCCCATAAAGAGGATCAGCAGAAGGAGTCACCTTAACTGGAAGATTTAGGGTTATTACAACTTCCCCTAAAGCGGGAAGACTGAGGCTACAGGGAATCGCCAACCGCGGTCAGATCACACTCTGTGCGTCTAATTTCGCCGCAGGGTGGTCAAAGCAACCGGATCGATCATTTTAAAGTCCGGCTCTGTTGTCTTGGAAACAAGGTGGCTCAGCCCTGCATGGAGCTGATCAATCACACAGCAATCAAATTGCAAATACTGCTCTTGCTGGACGGTCTACCTGGCAGAGTTTTGGTCACAAGGGTAATTAGAATTCTAGGCAGGTTCGCCCTCGCAGCAGGCTAGGACTTCACCAACACAAAGGGTTAAGGTATTATACCTGTGAAACTACACGACTTTCTATTTCCTTGGTCCCCTCCCAAAATCTCAATTGCTTTCAACAAAGTTATGTGTTTAAATGGTTTCCCTACAACCAGCAAAGCTGCTTATTTTAATCTGGGAACGAGAGGCGTGATCACAAATACCACATTTTAATCATACCGCGTACATGCGATTTCTGGAAAGGTCACACACCTCTGTTCCTGGGATCCCATTGAAAACACCATGAATACTTTGCGACAGGGGCTAATTTGGAGGCAGCCCGCAGTCTGCCAGTCCTGGATTGGAAGGCAAGAGCCGGCATTTGAATCTAAAAACGCGAATGGAGCTGTAGGGAAGCAGCAGGAGGGGAGGAGGGTTTAAGGGCACTGCGCGCCTCTCAGAACGAAAGGAAATAACCGGGAAACCTCTTCCTCGCCCCAAAGCCTCGGATTAGAAGAATCCGCATGAGTATGTAGTTGTGCAAAAGAAATAACCACTGAACTCCCAAACGTGTGAACCCACACTGTGCCTCGCTCTTCCCTTTGTATTTGAGGGGTCCAGGGTCCCCTGCCCCCCAGGCCAGCATCCTGCTTGGGGAGTGTCCCTTCCCCCGCCGCGGGAACCTTCTCTCTCCGGCAGAAAGGGACCCTGCTTCTGTCCGACCTCCCCATCCACAGCTGTACACGTACAAGATGATCCCGTCTTTGAAAACAAATTACTTCATCACTCTGCAGCACTGCTCTGCTTCCCATTACAGAGGCTCCCCTGAAAGAGCTGTCCGGACCGACAGCTCTCTCACCTTCACTCACCAGAACTTACACCTTTCTGGCTTCTATGACCAGCAGGAAATTGAAAAAGCGTTTGACTTCCTTGTTGACGAATCCAAAGAACACCTGTTCGCTCAGCCTGCCTGGCAGCCTGGGAGACCCCAGCTTCAGCCCTCTTTCCCCCGGATTCTCCCCTTCCCACCGCCTCCTTCCCTCATCTCTGACTTCTGCTCCCCTTCCTCGGCAGCCCCTGAGGGAGCGCCCCAAGACTGTGCCCCCCTTCCTTCCTTCCTTCCTTATCCTTTGCTCTCTCCTTAGGCAATTCCATCCAGACCCGTACCTTCAAATAGCATTTCTAGTCCCTGAGACTCAAGATCAGCCCTCTCCACTGAGCTCCCAAATGATATGCTTCACCCCCACTCGGAAATCGCCCACCCAGTGGCTTGAAGGCTTCTCAGTGTCAAACATGTACCAGACCGAACTCATGATCCACCCCCAGGACCCAGTTTTACTCCAGTGTCCTCAGTCTCGGTGAATGGCAGCAAGCCAGAACCCTGGCTTGAATATTCCCCAGACACACTCCTGCCACGCCCACTGCCACACCCTCGTCCGAGCTGCCACTGTCTCTCCTACTGAGCAGCCCTCCCACACCTCGGCCTCCTCCCGTACATTCTCCGGAAAGCAGGCTAACATTTCAAAACCAAAATCCGTTCATGGAAACACATGGTAAACACCTTCAGTGACGTCCCACAAATCATAAATTAAAGGTCAAAAGCCCTCATGTGGATGATGAGGTCCTCCTGCCCACCTTCCCAGCATCAACTAACATCACCTTCTACCTCATTCTCTTCTCTCCAGCCCCAGGGACACCTGCCTTCAGTTCCTCAAGTTCAGCAACTTTTTTCCACCCCAGGACCTTAGCACATGTCACCTCTGTGCACAGAAGGCTCCCTCTGCCTCTTCTCACACCCACATCCATGTCGACAGCCTTTCTGCTTCAGCTGAACCCTCACTTTCTCCCAGAAGATTTCTTGTCTCCACAATCTAAGTCAGGCTCCTGTGTTACACATTTCCACAGAAACTCATCCTTCCTTCAGAGAAGCATCTCTGTTTAGAATGATTCTCCATTCGTGCAATCGCTTGTTTAATGTCTGTCTCATCCACCCACTGGAAGCTCCATGGGGTTCACTTTACATCTGCTTTTCTTCACCCTCTTTCCAAGGAGCCTAACACCTAAAAATCACTTAATAAAGAATGTGCTTAATAAAGTGTTTTTATTTTTTTGTTAATCCTCACCGAGGATGTTTTTCCATTGATTTTTAATTTTTTTAGACAGAGTGGAAAGGAGGGAAGGGGGGAGAGAGAGAGAGAAACATTGATGTGAGAGAGACACGTTGATTGATTGCCTTCCGCGTGACCCTGACTGGGCTGGGGACTGAACCTGCAACCCAAGTTCGTGTCCTTGACTGGGAATCGAACCTGCGACACTTCGGTCCATGGGCTGACGCTCTCACCACTGAGCCAAACCAGCCAGAGCTCTAAAGAAGTGTTTTTAAACTATTTCACCTATATTCCATATTTCTGCCATGGGAAGTGTGATAAAACATGCAGGAGTGTCTCCCGAATGACTCACACGGCTACGCTGTGGGAAGGCCGGATGACACATGTTCTGGAAATGGGGGGTAGGGACAGAGTCCGTTCATTTTATGGCAAAGAGTGGGAGGACCCACTGAGCAGTTCCCAGTAGTCACTGTGCTCCACGAGAGAACTACCAACGGGAAAGTGTTGAGACCGTAAACAGGTGGAAGAAATAAAAGGCTGGACTCTTTTTTCAATCTTACCCTACAATTTACAAGTAGATAAGTTCCAGAAAGGCAAAAAGACTTGTCCATTCTCCTGTAACGTAGGACCCAATAACACCATGATATTTGTGGCCTTCCCTTACCAAACATTGGGCTCTCTTCCCAAAGGACACATGATAAAGTGTGTTAATTAAAAGGAACATGGTAGGTATGCAATAAAAATAATCCATTTAGACACATATATGCAGCACATGCTGTCTCTGGGGGCCTGGGTAGGCACTGCAGAACTGAAAACAAAACAGATGCCATGTCCTGGCCGGGCAGCTCGAGTGTCGCCCTGATGCACCAGGGTTGAGGGTTCGATTTCCAGTCAGGGCACATGCAAATATCAACCAATGAATGCATAAAAAGTGGAGCAACAAATCAATGTTGCTCTCTCTCTCCCCGTCTCTGTCTCTCTCTTCCTTTCTCTTTCTAAAATCAATTTAAAAATTAAAAAAAAAAAGACAGCCCAGCCGGTGTGGCTCAGTGGATTGAGCATCAACCCATGCACCAAGAAATCACCAGTTCGATTCCTGGTCAGGGCACATGCCCAGGTTGCAGGTCAGCCCCCAGTGAGGGGCAGGCAGGAGGTAGCTGATCAATATTCTCTCCTATTAATGTTTCTATCTCTCTCCCTCTCCCTTCCCCTCTCTCTAAAATCAATAAAGGAAAAGAAAAAGAAAAAAAGACAGACACAGTATCTTCCTTCACGGATCCTACATTAATTAAGATCATTACAGCTTGTCAGATTTGCTATAAAATACAGAAACAAGGCCAGGGACGGTGAGTCGTGTCAGGAGGAAAAGGCCACAACCACTTCCCACAGTGCCCGGAGCAGATCCCACTGAGAAGGACACCCCAGTTCCGGCGGCTGACTTCCCGGCCAGCCATTCCCAAACCCTGCACCCTTAGCATTCGGGGGAGGGGCTTCGCAGAAGAGGCGCAAGAGCTATGGACTCGAACCCAGGGCTGAGGCCCAAGGACCAAGCCTTCAGGAGAGACGCTTCCATGACTCCTGGGGTGGTGGCAGCAGTCTGGTCCCCACCACAGGCGGACCTGGAAGGCTGGCCCACTCTGTTACCTGTGTTCCTCGTGATGTTCAACAACTGTTCGCAGACGACCTCTCCTATCACAGAACAACCCTGGGAGGTTGCCCGGCAGAAGGATGACCCGAGTGGACGGCCCTAGGGCAGGCAGGGTCTTACCTAGCTCAGACAGATCATCAAAGGCGAGTGAAGGCCAGCCCAGTGGCTGGGCCTCCAAGGCCACGCGCGTTCCCAGACCAGCCAGGCTGCTCTTCCCTCCTCCCGCTGTTGTTCACGGGGGAAGCAGCGAAGCCGCGTCAGGGCTTCAGCGAGCAGGGCGGTGGTTCTGCGGGACACTGAGGGCGAGCCGGGCTGACCGGCGACCGTTCGTGGTCATCTGGGGACGCCAGGAGTCACCCTGCGCTCTCTCCCCGCCGGGCGTGTGTCTGGGCAGGTCGCTTTCACTGCCAAGTGTCTCCCGCCAGTGACACCTGGCACGTGTCCTCCTCACAAAGCCTTGGGGAGAACAGCGCGTGCTAGAATTTTCTACGGCACTTTCTACCCAAGGATGGCAAAGGGTTTTGTGTTGGACACTTGTGAGAACATTGCAGGATTGATAGCGCTGCTTCCGAAGGGGCGGGGCCAGGCCTTGGCGCTCCAGCCCGCGTCAGCCCGCAGGCCCTGAAGGCCTGGCTGCCTCCTGCCGCACCCAAGCCGCGCAGACTGGAAATGCCTCCCAAGGCTCATGCCTTTGTTTGGCTTCATTAGAAAATCACACGTGGATTAACTCATAATCACTCCTAAATTACAAGCACTTTTTATTAACATCAGCAAGCTGAGGAGCGAACCGTCTGTGGTATGTCAACTCCAAAATCTGGGAGCAGGTCTTACCTGTGTTTATCACCTTGACCTCCCACGCTGCGGTCCGACATGGTGCTGATGCTTCCGCAGGCTTGGAGCATTGTCTTTACCCTTCACCGGGACAGGAGAAATCTACGTGCTGTTCGCTACCTACCAACAAGTAGATGGGAGACAGAAAAAATAATAATACTTTTTCTTTTTTAAGGATCACAAGCCACGCTGCTAGAGTGCAGTGAAGTCAGGCCGCAGCCCAGGCCGGCACTGGGGTTTCTGCGCAAGCGCTGGGGTGGGCGGTGCCCTTCTGACGCGCTGCCCGTTTAGGAGGCAAAGTAAAGGTCTGGAGAGCCAGTGAGCCGACTCTTCAGAAAAGACTACAAATTTCTAAGTCTATCCCTGACTCCGGGGTGGGTACAACTCAAAAGATGCAATTTGACGTTCAAATAAGAATAACACTGAATTACTGGGCCAAATAGAAGAAATGGGAGGTGGGCCATGCACCTGAGTTGATTGCTTTATCCTGCCAAGGTTTAGTGAAGCCAGACCTGCAATCACAGGGGAATCTGGGTCCCTCTGGTAGCACCTTGCTAATTTGCACTAATTGACGAAAACACACAAAGTGGATTATAAAACCGTGTGAACTGGAGAAAGAAATAACATGGTTGTTAAGAGTCCAGGGTCTTCATCTCACACAGAACAATGCCCTTCCCTATGACCAGAATACATCCTAGCAACACAATCAGCTCTTTGCTGATAAGGAAGAACACATAATAGTTTATGTAAATAATGGCTCATCCCTAGCTTTGTATTCTGTTCTTGGTTCTGCTGCTAATTTGCAATCCTCCTAAATCACTAATCTACCTTCATGTCTCCAGGTCTCTTTCCATAAAATTAAAAGGGATATCATGGGGTATTTAAAAAGAAAAGAAAAGAGCTGGAGTAGGTTAAGTAATATTAATTAAACTCAAATTTGAGGTCAATGAAAAAGAAAGAAATGTGTTGGTTTTTTTTTAAAAAAAAAAAGCTCAAACCTTCCCTCACCCACCAACACCGACCTCCACAAAAACAGTTTGCACCTTTGATAGTCTCCAGAGACCAGCCTTTAAGCTCTAATTATAAAGTATTGTCAACGCCCAAGCACACAGAACGAGAGTGATTCTTTTCCGTCTCTCCATTAGCCCTTTCGGATCCCTACACTCTTTGTGGGGACAAAACTAAAAATGCTTTTCCTTCTACCTTCTAAGTTCTTCCAGCTGGGCTAATTAAACCAAATCGACAGAGGCAGATTCACAGGGGGAAATGTACAAAATGTATCAGGGATGCACATGCCAGGGGTGTCATGAGATATGAGAGCCCAAACACAAGAGCAGTTGAGGTTCATATGTCATTAAGAACAAAGTAGAAAGGGGCAGGGGTCTGAGATGTCAGAGGAAGTAGGTGATTTACAGGGAGCTGAGGCAGGGTAGACACAGGCAGGCAATCCCTGCGAGGCTACCCAGAGACAGTGGGATGGGGAGTCTAGGTAACAGGCCCTGCTTGGAGCTTCCTATCTAACGCCAAGGTGAGTATGTTTAGTTTCATTTCCTGAACCGTCCTGCCCTGCTGATGCGAAGGCAGACTGGCACAGCCACTGTGAAATACAGTGCCGAGGTTCCTCAAAAATTAAAAAGGGAATGGCCTTACTACCCAATGATTCCACTTCTGGGAATATATCCAAAGAAACCCCAACACTAACTCGAAAGCATATATGCACCCCCACATTCACTGCAGCATTATTTACAGTAGCCAAGATCTGGAAGCAGCCCAAGTGTCCATCAATAGAAGAGTGGATATAAAAGATGTGGTCCATATATACAGTGGAATATTACTTGGCCATAAAAAATCAATGAAACCTTACCATTTGTGACAGCATGGATGGACCTAGAGGGTACATGCTAAGTGAAATAAGCCAGTCAGAGAAAGACAGATGCAAATGAGTCCACTTCTATGTGGAATCTAAAGAACAAAATAAATGAACAAACAAACAGAAACAGACTCAGACAGAGAGAACAAACTGACAGCTGTCAGAGGGTGGGGCTTTAGGGCACTGGGTGAAAAAGTTTAAGGGACTTAGAAGTACAGAGTGTAGTTACAAATAGTCACGGGATGTAAAGTACAGCCTAGGGAACACGGTCATATTGCACTAAGTATATAAGGTGCCAGGTGGGCACTTAAATATCAGAGGAAACACTTTGTAAAGTATTTGATTGTCTAACTACTGTGCTGTACACCTGAAAACATAACAAAATAATATTGAAAGGAAACTGTAATTGAAAAAGGTTCCCTTCCAGGAGCAAAACCTCGGGCAGAAAGGAGGAAGGTCAAACGTTCTTTCCAGGTATTTTGTTTCTTAATAACCAGCTTAAAATCAATATCCCAAACGGCACACCTGGAGGTGAGCGTGACAGCGCCCCGGTCCCCTTCGCCATCCTCGCTTTCACAGCAGGTACTTTCTGGAGCAAAGCGAGGGACGGGAAGGAACCTGGAGCCTCGGGGCCTCCGTCCAGCTCCGCGCCCCTGGCCGCTCTCAGGCTCACCTGCTACCAAGGGAAAGGGTGAGCCAGGCCCTGGGACACTGCCGCCCCATGGCTCCTCTCTCCCACGCACCCCGCCTGCGGCTGCCAGCAACATCCCTGCCCTTAGCCCTGGCCGGTTTGGCTCAGGGGGTAGAGCATCGGCCCGCGGACCAAAGAGACCCGGGTTCGGTTCCCGCTAAGGGCACATAGCTCGGTTGCAGTTCGTTCTGGTTGGGGTTGTGTGGGTGGCAACCAGTTGACGTGTCTCTCTCACATGGAGATGTTTCTCTCTGTCTCTTCCTCCCTCTCTCCCTCCTGCTCTATCAGAAAATAAATGCAAAAATGTTCTCGGGTGAGGTTAAAAAAAATTCCTCCCGCCCTGGCCGGTTTGGCTCAGCCGTTAGAGCATCGGCCTGCGGTCTGGAGAGACCTGGGTTCGGTACCCGCTAAGGGCACGTACCTCGGTTGCAGTTTGTCCCCGGCCCTGGTTGGTCGTGCGGGTGGCAGCCACTCGATGTGTTCCTTTCACATCGATGTTTCTCTCTCTCTCTGTTCCTCTCTCTCCCTCCCGCTCTACCTGAACAAAAAATGGAAAAATGTCCTCAGGTGAGGATAAAAAAAAAAAAAAAAAAAATTCCTCCCCTTAGAATCCACTCCTGGGCATGACACAAACATATACTATGAGAGAGTATCCAGCGAATTTCTTTTTATCTCTCTTAAGAGAATGTTATTTTTATTTTATTTATTTATTTTTTAATCCTCACCTGAGGGCACCTCTCCATTTTTTGTTCAGATAGAGTGGGAGGGAGAGAGAGAGAGAGAAACATCGATGCGAAAGGGACACATCGAGTGGCTGCCACCCGCACGACCAACCAGGGCCGGGGACAAACTGCAACTGAGGTACGTGCCCTTAGCGGGAACCGAACCCGGGTCTCTCTAGACCGCAGGCCAACACTCTAACCGCTGAGCCAAACCGGCCAGGGCTAAGAGAATGTTATTAATTATTTTTTACAAAACAAACAAAACTTCTCTTGTTCTCCTCCAGGGTATTTACTTTTCGTGCTCAGGGGTCCAAGCACTGCACCGCTGGGTACCTGGGACAACTCAGCGCTCAAACACGACAGCCGCCTCTCACCCAGGGGTCCAGAGGGCCCTGCCCTGCGCCCGGCCAGCCAGGGACCGCGCCCGGGAGCGGAACAGGCGGCCTTGGCCAGCCAGCTCCCCTGCGCCCGTCCACTGCTGCTAGCATGTGACACTCTCATTATCTTTCATTATTTATAGCCAGTGTATTAATACCCCATGAAATGTTTCCTCTGAAATGATTTTAATCTTCTCATTTAGCTGTTCTAAACTCAGCTGCTCGCAGTAATGAACGTGCTCCCCTTAACCTCCTGTCCGTGGGGAACCACACTACCCTGCTAGGAAGTTATTACTGATGGGGACCGTTCAGTGGCCCTGGTGGGGGACGGGAGGCCAGCAGGCTCAGTGTTCACAGTTCCATTAATTCTCTCGTAACCATGAGCTTAGATTCTGAGGAGCAATACCTTCCAATGGTCCCTGCAGCCCTGCACGAGTAGCGTGTCCCAAACACGGTCCCTTCCCTCCGCCAGCAGGACGACACCAATCACCAGGAGAAATGCGCTATCGACTCACGCAGCTCTCAGTGATACACTTACCAAGAAACTGTCGCTGTGCAGGGCACCAGAGGTTAAAGGAGACATCTGCCACAGTCACAGGGTCTTCAAATCTCACAGGAGCCCTGGCTGGGTGGCTTGGTTGGAGTGTCATCCCCTGCGCCAAAAAAGGTTGTAGGTTCGATTCCCAGTCAAAGGCGCAGACAGGAGGCAACCAATTGATGTTTCTCTCTCTCTCTCTCTCTCTCTCTCTCTCTCTCTCTCTCCCCCTCACTCTCTCCCTCCCTCCATCCGTCCCTCTCTGTCTCCTCTCTCCCTCCCTCTCTCTCTCCCCCTCCCTCCATCTCTCCCTCCCTCTCTCTCTCTCCCCCCCTTCCTTTCTCTCTCTCTCAAATTGATAAAAAGATATCCTTTGACAATTAAAGACCCACAGCAAGCAGGGGAAGCCCCGAGGAAGGCCATGGCTAACAAAGGACACGATGGGAAGTGTCGTGCACACAGACACCACAACACTGCAAGATTAGGTAGCACATGAGGAGGTGAGGCAGTTCGGAACAGTAAGAGGTCGCTGTGGACAAGAATGAGCGGGGAATGAGCTCACAGTTGTAAAGATGCTCAGGCAATGGCTTGAAGAGAGGTTGAGGTCAAGGTTACAGCCAGAAGAAATCCTTAGTATTTGCAAGTCAATCATTTACTGAGTAGCACCCAACTCAGGGCATTTATACTTCAAAACCGACAACACGGAGGTCTTCTATCTTGGCTTTTTTGAAAAGAAAACCTCGGCATAGAGAAGTCACAGAGCCCTGATCTGGATGTCCCGTATCCGAAGCCGGTCTTTCCAATCTGCTATAATGGTCTCTGTTCGGCGTTAGGTGGAGGGAACAGATAAAGAACCGAAGGGCTGAACTTGGAGTAGACTGGCTTGGGTGCAGGAAAGGACCCAGGAAATAGAACCAAGAGAGATCGGGATACACAGATGGACTTTGGGGGGCTCTACTTGCCAGGACAGCACACGGAGGAGTGAAGTCCCCCCGAGAGTTCCCAGGCCCGTCTGGACCCTGCTTCTTCAGCGGCTGGAAGCAGTCCATTTAGATGGTCTCAAGCCACTTGCTCTTCAAGACAAAGGCCTGGGACATGGAAGCTGGACTCAGAGATGGGCTAAGGCCAGAGGTCTGGGAGCTCCAGGCCTTTGCATCACCTGCCAACAGACAAGAAATAGACACGAGACTTGTCCCCACCCTGCCCCTAGGTTTGTGTGACCTTGAACCTGAGACCTAACCTTTCTGCATCTACATCTCGGTGTGGAATGACCTCTATGGTTGTCGTCCACACTGCTTCTGCAGTCTCTAAGCATCTCTCTGGATGCCTGACACCCTGGGCTCCTTGGAAGTTCTTGGAACCCCACCACCCGTGGGAAGACCAGATGGAGCAGTGCCCCAGACATGTTGCCTAGCGGCCCTCTCCCGGGACGGCAGAGGCTTGTGCCGTTGACTGAGGAGGTGATGACCACCCTCCCTCCGATAGGTCACTTTGGAATGAGTCCGCAGTTTGCTATTTGGAATGGCCCCTGCGTGCAGGTGAAATTACCAATCTCTGGGGGCGTATTCTGGGTGGACACCAGACTGGTCTTCTAACAGAGGAGCCATACTTGGCACTGAGTTAAGGTCTTCCCAAGATACTCTGCTCTCACATTGGAAATCACTGTGACCAGTGATTTAACTAACTAGGGGATTATTATCCTCAGAAGGTTCATTTTCCCACCGTTTCCTCGGTTAGTGAAATGGGGTGCGAGGCAGAGGCGGAGCCGGGCTGGTCCCACCCCGCCCCGAGGGCGCTGGCACGCAGCGGGATGCGCCTCCAGGCAGCTCCCTGTCCTCAGGAGTCCAGACCGCGGTTGCTAAAAGGGCAGGAGTCCTGTCTGGTTGTTTGCCAGCTTTCCCTTCTGAAAGGCCTCGTTAAGTAAAGAAGCCAAACCGCAGAGTTTTAAAAGAAAAGAAGGAAGCACACGGCTTCCCAAAACCCAGGAGTCCAATGGAGACGGCACACCCTCGCCGGGCCTCCCGCACTCAGCCCCGCCGTGCGCTGGCGCGGGGAACCCGGACAGGAGCGGGGACAGGAGCGGGGACACCCACGCCGCGGCCCTCCGCCTGGGCACCCTCCCAGGCTGGTCTCCGCCTGGCGAAGGATTCCTACATGCTGCTGTCCACACAGGCGGCTACTCACAAACGAAATAATGAAATTCAAAAAGCGCCATTGGTTGTCATAGAGACAATAGCAATTTGTGCCACCTTAATAGGAGTGGATAATAGGGTTGTTGCTGTGGTCTGAATGGTTCCCCAGGACCCAGGTTGGGAAACATGAGCCAGCGTTACAGGGAGCCCCCTAATGTCCCCTGCCAGCAGGCTGCCGCTTATTTGCCTAGGACAGAAGGTCAAGTGGAGTACAGCCCTGGACACCAGAACACTTCGAAAAGACACCTACTCGTGCCCAAGTGCCCTAAACCAGGGACCAAGCCGGGGCCCTTCATCTCCAGGGCAGGGCTCCGGCCAGAGTCAGACCGGCCAGAGTGCATCTGGTCTTGATTCCCAAGAGGAGTGTTAACCCCTGAACAATCCGGGGTCCCTAAACCCAGAAGCTGGCCATGAGAGAAGCAGAAGGAAGATGGTGCAGCAGGAAGAGCACAGGCTCAGGGTTGTCTGTCTGTCTGTCTGTCTAACAAACATTTCCTGAGCTCCTGCTGTGCCAGGCAGTCCTCTGAGGGGGCGGCAGGAGACACTGGCTCATTGGCCTGGGGTGGAAGGAACGTATCTTAATCTTCAGTTTTTGGAAAAAATGACCTGAGAGTAGAGAGATCACATTCCCTGTCATCCAGAAGATGATGGGGCAGCTTCAGAATTTTAGTCCACTGTGAGAAATGTTTAAGAAAAATTATTGCAGCCTGGCCAGTTTTCTCAGTGGTCAGAGCATCGGCCAGTGGACCAAAGGGTAGCGGGTTTGATTCCCTGTCAAGGACATGTACCTGGGTTGCAGGTCTGATTCTAGGCCCTGGTCATTGTCAGGAGGGAGGCAACCAATCAATGTGCCTCTTTCACATAGATGTGTTTCTCTCTCCCTCCCTCCCCCTTCCTTCTTTCCACCCTATCTAAAAAAAAAATCAATGGAAAAATATCCTTGGGTGAAGATTAACAAAGAAGAAGAAGAAGGAGGAGGAGGAGGAGGAGGAAGAGGAGGAGAGAAGGGGAGGGAGGGGAGAGAAGGGGAGGGAGGGGAGAGAAGGGGAGGGAGGGGAGGGGAGGGGAGGGGAGGGGAGGGGAGGGAGAAGGGAGGGGAGGGGAGGGGAGGAAGATTATTCCTAACACTTGTTACAGACAGTAAGGCAGGCTGTATTCAAGGGGGCACATTGCAATAGGTAGGACCATGGGAAGGGGTCTCACAATGGGGGAGAAAGACTGGAAATCAACTCTAAATACACCAAGAGAAGTGGGACTTTATAGCCACCAAGCAGAGCAGGGGTCAGCAGATGGACAATATTGAAGGTGGAGATAGGGGTTTCACTAAGGGGATTCTTGCTACAACTGGACAACACAGACAGGGAAGTCCAAACATCAAGGCCTCACTGAAAAAGAGCTCAGAGGAGCCTGATTTAGAGTTTGGTCCAAGGAGAGAATCTTCGGCAGGGACTGGCAAAAACCAAAAACAAATAAACAAAAGGAAAAAAACCCTCAATTTCAGCATAAGGACGAATCAAGCACAGCTGTGGAGCTGCCTATGCGTCTTCCCTGTTTTCTTTTTTATTATTCCAAAGTCAAGATAACAGGCGTGCAGTTAGACATCATCATTTAAAGATCTAGTCACTGCAGACTGCAGACAACCTGGCCCTAAGGAGCAAACACCACATGAGTTCCTTGCACTAAATCTGTGGAAAACACGCTTTAAATGATTCCGCCCTTCCTTTTCCTTCCCTTCCCTTCCTCCCCTCCGGGAGCAGTGGGGAACTTTCCGTTTGATGTTGCTGTTTAGAATAGCTAGATGAGCACCTCCATATCAACTGAGAAATGGGGCCCATGCACACGCTCAAAATTATAAAATAAGTCTCTCTTACATCTGGAGGCTTTTGTTTCCCAGGACAGACGCCTACACATGCCCCTTCCCTGATCCAAAGTAGGAGAAGCAAGGACATGAGGGAAGTAAAACCGAGGCTCACTGTGACTCTGGTTGAGTTTGGTTTAAATCCTAGCTCTGGAAGTCATACCTCTCTGTGTGTACACCGCCCGGGGACCTAGTCTTCCCTCTGGACAGGCAGCAACCCCTGGCAGCAGGAAACTAGCCCAGACCCAGTGGTCACAAGTCCCGAGGGCCGGCGGGCTGCAGACATCTTCACCTGGCTGGTTGCAGCCCCTGAGCCCTCAGCCACTTTCCCATGAGGCCAGAGAGAGGGCCGCAGAGCAGACCCCACCACTGTCCTCCAGACTCTGCCCTTTACGGTCTGGGACCTCACACCATCACAGAGGACATTTTAGCATTAGCTCTTGCCTCCATGGTGGCCGGTTCAATATTAAGCTCTTTTTTTTCTTTATGCAGACTCCAGTCATGCATTCCTTTGGGTCGGTGCACACAGGCAGACGGACTCACAGAAACCTTGGGGTCCCCACAACAGAACCTTAAATGCATGTTACCGAGGGAAAGAAGCCACTCTGACAGGCTACCTGCTGGAAGATCCAGCTGTAGGACGTTCTGGAAAAGGCAAAACTACGGAGACTGAAAAGATCAGGGGGGCTGGGGGCTGGGACCTGAGCAGGTGGGGCTCGGAGGGTCTTTAGGGACATGAAACGACTCTGTGTGACACTATGATGGAGGACACTGGCACTCGCCACCCACTTGTCCGGACTCAGCATGTACACCACCGAGAGCGGACTCTCCGAAGCTATGAACTCCAGGTACTTATGAGGCAGATTCCCCTGGTAAACAATGTCCCACTCTGGTGGGAGATGTTGATAACGGAGGGCGCTGTGCATGTGGGAGGCAGGGGGTACACAGAGACCTCTGTGCCTTCCTCTCTATTTTGCTATAAACATAAAACTGCTTGAAAAAAAAATTAATGAAGCCTCATTACGTTGAACTACTCCTGTTCTGGATGATGAGATCCTGTGATTCCCATTGGGAGAAAGTTTACAGA